TGTTATTCCTCCCTCTCTCTCTCTTCCTCGTTCTCTCGCCCTCATCCTCCTCGAGCACCGTCAACGCTCGCGAACACCTCGTGGCTTCTTGTGCACGTGGACCCCCCCACTGCAATTCACACAACTGTGCTAAGCAGCTCCGGCGCCGCCTGCGGGCCGCAACGGCACTTGTTGCACTGCTTGCTTTTTCGTGTTGGAAGGGCTGCGCCCCCTTTTCCTCCCCCATCTCTGGTTATTCAAGCTTCGCGTGGCCCGCTTAGCTTCGACCGGAAGAGGTGCGCTCTCGACCCGCGAATCAAAAAGCTTGGTCGTATTGGCAGGCCTTGCTAACACTGCCCGCATTCTCGCACGAGCTGATACCCACATAGCTCAGAGTGTGCTGCTGTTGCTTCGGCTGTCGGCTGCGCCAGCGCGTCCTGCCACTGCATCCTTCTCGCACTGCCAGGACCTGCTGCCAACACGTGCCGTCTCGCATGAGCTGAACCCCGCGGGGCTCCTTTCCGCCTTGGGGCATGGATCGTGCTTGCTTGAATTGCGCTCCTTCTTGCTCAGACAGGCCATGCTGCAATCGTCTGCATTCCCACATGTTCTACCGCCTGCCTCCTTACACCGACTGTCGGTGTTGCTTCTGCCTCCTGTCAATCACGAACTGATCCCCGCATAGTGGCTGATGATGCTGAGCTCCGCCTCGATTTTAGGCGCCTAAAGAAGACCGTTCGCCACGGCCTGCATTCGGTGCTGTTGCCGTGGGGTATCCAGCCTACCAGTCCCTGCAGCTGCTGCTGGCCCGCACTCTTGCAGCAGCGCCGAGACGGCGGACGTCACAGATCGCGAGGAGGGGAGGGGGAGGAGGAGGGCGTGGTTCCTGGCGGCTGCGCATGCCCCCCAGTCTCTTCACTGTAGCCGATGGCAGTGGGCGCCCAGCTTCTTGATGTTGGTTCCTGTACGCGCTGCCGCTTGGAAATCTTCGCCTTGCTCGCTCGTTTTTTTTTTCTCTCTCTCTCTCTCTCTCTCTCTCGCTCTCTCTCTATATATATATATATGTATGTCTCTCTCTCTCTCTCTATTTCTCTCTCTCTCTCTTTCTCTATTTCCCTCTCTCTCTCTCTCTTTCTTCCTCTCTCAACCCCTCGTCCTCCTTCTGCATCTCTCTCTCTCTCTCGTTTTCGTTTTCCCTCGCCTCGGCATCCACTTGTTCCTCGTCCCCCTCCTCCTCCTTCCTCCTCCTCATTCTCCTCCCCGCCTCCACCTCCCCCTCCCCCCCCCCTCCCCGTTGCCAAGTATATCGAGGATGTCAGCTCAGAAGATTACTGCGTCGTCGCTTGGAGGAGGAGTGGGTTCTGGGCCTTCGAGGAAATCTCCTTCTTCCACCTCGACTCCAACATCGGTAGCGTGCCCTCCTCTCCCTCCTTCGGTACCTCAAAGGTCCAGAGGGCCACCGAAAAGGTCCTTCGGATTCAAGTGGGTCTTTCAGGTAAGGCCGTCCTCCAGCGTAGGGCCTGTCACTCTCACGTGTTTTCGGATCCCTCCCAGGGTGAGCTCCGGTGTCCGGCTTTCACTAGTGTCCCGAACTTCGCCCCTCAGTGAGTGGTCGCCTCTCAGTTGAGTATGGTTTGTAACGCTTGGTGCACCTCCAGACGGTTCGGAGGTGCCCCGCAGGCGTGCCACTTCTGCCGATGGGCTGGCTTTCGGAGGGGACAACATAGTACACTACGCAGCGTTCCCTGCCACCGAGGCCGTTCTTTCGCGCCTTCCTCCTCTTCCCCCTGCCTTCCTGGCCGCCCTTGGCCTCTCCCGCGTTGCTCTCCTTCCTGCCTTCCCGCGCCCGACGCTGCTGTCGTCAGTATTGCTGTGTATCTCGGTATGGTGTCCACAGTTTATCATCCCGACAGGAGCTGTGGAGAGTTTGGGGGTTGCTGTGGTCAGCTGCGCGCAGCCGACGACAGCAGAAGCTGCGCCGTCAGCCGTCGCTTGCTAGAGCGATCCGTGGGTGAGGCGTGCTCTGTATGGTCCCCATGACGTGCAGCAGTTTTCGTCTCGGAGGATATTTTTGTCCCTCGTCTCGCTTCTTATCCGCTTGCCCTCGTCTCGTTTTTTTTCTCAACCTTCGAGCTCCCCCCGTTCCCCGTTCTCATCATCTTCCTCCTCGTCCTCATCCATCCTCATCCTACTCCTCTTCCTCCTCCTCGTTGTCGTCCTCCTCCTCCTCTTCCCAGACCCCTGTCGACGAAGCCCTTTCAGACCCGCGAACGCAACGCTCCTCCTCCTCATCCTCCTCTCCCTCCTCATCCTCCTACTCCTCCTCCTCCTACTCCTCCTCCTCCTCCTCCTCGTCATCATGATCCTCCCTCCATCCATCCCTCCACCCTGCCCCAGAGGCTCCCAGAACCGCAGTCCTGGCGGCCTTTGGGGACCTCCCGCAAATGAACGTGGAATTGCGGGAGGTTCCCACAGGCTGCTCGCAGCTCGTAGAGAATTGCCTCTGGGCACCTCCCTCACTTGGGTCAAATCCAAGAGGTGCTATCTGGCGGGATAACAGGGTCCCCCTCCCATCCCTCCCTCCCCTCTTCCCCCTCCCCTCCCCTCCCTCCCGCCCTCCCCCCCTCCCCCTCCCTCCCTCCTCCCCCTCCCTCCTCCTCCTCCTCCCTCCTCCTCCTCCTCCTCCTCCTCCTCCTCCTCCTCCTCCTCCTCCTCCTCCTCCTCCTCTCCTCCTCCTCTCCTCCTCCGCTTTCTCCTTCTCCTCCATCTCCTCTTCCTCCTCCTTCTCTTCCTCCTCTTCCTCCTCCTCCTCCTCCTCCTCTTCCGCCTCCCTCCCTCTCCTCGTCCTCCTCCTCTCACTCCTCCTCCGTCCCTTGTCCGTGTAAGGTGTTCCTCCCTGTCGCACCCCGTGACGCGCCGGCAAGGCGAGTTGGGCGTTTCGCTTGCGAGTTCTTCACCAGCTATGACCTTGCAACTTATTAGTTGCACGAGTGTCACGGATGGCTGGCGCGCGGGCTTCAAATTGTGGTGTTCGCTTCAGCGCCGCGCGCATGAGTGCTTTTAAGTGTGCAAAAGCTTTAAGGATGGAGGGTGGGTCATTCTCAAACAAGTGGCGATCGCATCAGCGCCGCGCACATTCTTTTCTTACAGTTCGCAAGAGATTCACGGATGGATGGCAGGGGCGTTCCAAATTGTGGTTATCATTTTAGCGCCGCGCATCTTCGTCTCATGAGCTTACAACAATTTCGGGAATTAGTATGGCATGGCCTTCTGGCACGTTGTAGGACTGCCAGCGCGCAACAGTCACGTTGATTCGCCGCGTTGAAATCCCAGGACTTTTGTTATGGCACGGCTCAGAAGCGGCAGGGCGCAGCGATGACTTTGATTCGCGACGTTGCAGTCCCAGGAATAGTGTTCTGGCACGGCTTCGGAGTTCAGACGGTTGTCCTCCATCTCGGCACTTCCCTCAGTGAAAGTAAATTCTTGTAGAGACCTATGGAGAGGCAGCTTGGAGGGAGGGTGTATTGCAACACGTTGGTGGCTCTTTGGTTTACACTGGTCCTCCTCCTCCTCCTCCTCCTCATCCTCCATCCTTGTTTCCTTCTGTTGAACTCCTCCCTGCCGCACCACCAGACGTGTCGATGGAGCGGTCTGGGCGTGTTTTTTTAGACTTCCCCACCATGTATGACCCTGTAGCTTGAACTGCGCAACAGCCTCAAGGATGGAGGGCCGGTAGCTTTCAACCTGTGTTTTCCGCCCTCGCGCCGCGCACCTTTGTCATTCGAAGTCCGCAGCAGCCTCGAGGATGGAGGGCGAGTCGTTTTCAACATGTGGTTCTCGCAGGAGCGCCGCGCAGATTCGCCAAAGAAGCATGCGACTGTTTCAAAGATGGAGCGCAGGTCGGTTCCGAAATGTGGCTCTTGCGGTCGCGTCGCGCACACTCGTCACCAAATGTCCGCATTCGTTTCGAGGGTGGAGGGCAAGTCGTTTTCAGCATGTGGCTCTCGCATGAGCGCCGCGCACATCCGCCGAAGAAGCATGCAAATGTGTCAGAGATGGAGGGCAGGTCGTTTTCTAAATGTGGCCCTTGCATTCGCGCCGCGCACACGTGTCCTAGAAGCTGGCAGCAGATTCACGGGTGGAGGGCGGGTGTTGCTCAGAATGCGGTCATCGCTTCAGCGCCGCGCGCATGTTTTGTAAGAGTTCGCACTTCTTTCACTGCAGGAGGGCGGTTCCTTTTCAAACGGTGGATCTCGCATTAGCGCCACGCACATTCGCCTTGAAAGTTTACAGCCACGTCAAGGATCCGCACGGCTGAAGTCCCAGGAGTTGCGTTCTGATGCGATGCAGGACTCCCAGGGCGCAACGGTCACGTTGATTATCTGTGCTGAATTCCCAGGAACGGTGTCCTTGCGCGACTTAGGTCTGTCAGGGCCAGCAGGCAAGTTGACCCGCGGCGTTGAAGTCACAGGAACGGTGCTTTGACACGGTTGATGATTCTCATACAGTCGTCTTCCAATGTGGCATTTCCCGCAATGGAAATAGATTCCTTCAGGGACCTATGAAGAGGCAACTTGGATTGAGGGCTTATTGCGACATCGTTGATGCGTTTGGGGCTTGCGCTGGTCATTCTCCTCCTCCCC